ATTTGCTTTCAATATACAGTACAGAAGCAAGTTCAGATCTATGTAGTTGTGCAGCAACTTCAGAAAAGTGACTGACTGCAACTACAGTGCTATCAGTGAATTTCAGAGCTTTGACCAAAAATACATTTTCAACCTGATTGTTTACTGTATCTTGTTTTTATTATACCCTTCAAAAACATGGATACAGTTATCAGTAATATAGTAGAAAAACAGAATCTGAATTAATCAGGTAGGTTTACACATACAAGGACTTTGTGTTGGTATATTGGTGCATAACAAACATAGTAGGTAGAAAATATTAGAAAGATTAAGCAAGTAGTGATGGTCACGAATCATTACATTACATTTATTCATTTAGCTGCTTTTAACCAAAGTGGCTTACAATTGCTATACATGTCAGAGGTCACACACCTCTGGAATAACTAGGGGTTAAGTGTCTTGCTCAGGGACACATTGGTGTATGTTTGTGTCACAGTGGGGAATTGAACCTGGATCTCTTACATCAGAGGCATGTGTCTTCTCCACTGCTCCATCACCACCCCTAAATATAAAATTGACAATATATAATAATATAAAGTAATAAAGAATATTTAAAATATGGCTGTTAGCCTTTAAAATGTCATATTTACTGTTGTCTCTCTGAACTGACTTATCTTCTCCCTTAAAAATCACATAACATTTGCGTAACATTTACTGTGTCTATTGTTGATCAGCTCCTACCAGATGACCCTGACAAGAAGCCACAGGCCAAACAGCTACAGACCAGAGCAGACTACCTCATTAAGTTGCTGAGCAAGGACCTGGCCAAAAAAGAAGCACAGAAACAAGCAGGGACAGTAAGTCTTACACTAACTCTACCTGTCAAGCTTATCAGCATCGATAACCAGAATGCTTTAAGGTAGGTAGATTTATTTTGTCGCAGTAGAACAGGATATATAGTGAAATTGTGTTTGTAACTCCCTTCTGCTACATTGCAATATACATTAATTAATATAGAAGCAATGCTTGGGGGGGGAGCTGCTCTGCAGTCTGGTGGTGCGGCAGCACAAACTTCTATATCTCTTCCCAGAAGGCAGCAGGGTGAACAGGCTGTGGCTGGTTGGGTACTGTCCTTTAGTATCCTTTGGGCTCTGTGTACCAATGATCTTCTGAGCAGTTTTAATCATCCGCTGCAGACCTTCCGGTCCTGGGCCGTGCACATCAAGCCAGTTTGTGATGTTTCCATTCAGGATGCTTTCTATTGCTCCTCTGTAAAAGCTGACAAGAACTTGGAATGGGAATTTGGCCTTCTTAAGGTTCCTTAAGAAATAAAAGCGTTGTTGAGCTTTCTTCACCAGCAACATTGAGCAGTAGGTTGTTCGCTGTGCACCACTCTACAAGTTTATCAGTGTCCTCCCGACAAGAATAGGGCTGTTACAGTCAAGTAATTTCCCCCGCAGCAATATGTTGGGGCTCAGCGTATGCAGTATTGTCACATTTTTCATGAATGAAGTAATTTAGTGCCATATAGCTTAGTAAGAGTGTCTGTGTCTGTCACCTCACGCCGCAGCGAGCCGCTTAACAGCAGATTTATGGTCTGAGCAAGCTAGCTGCGTTGCCAAGCAAACTCCTTTTTGTAGTTTGACCGTCTTTTTCACACGCAATGTTGGCTATATTGTTACTTTCAGGGCATGTCTTCAATCAGTCAATTTACATACCGCAGCAACGCACACACACTGGTGCAGAGGAGAAAGGGCTGTCCACAACTAACCACCACGCTGTAGTAACGTTATAACTAAATTTCTACAAAAAGCAACATGAAAAACAGCTGCATGCATATGACACACTACACTCATTAGTTAGGAGCTTCAAATGAGGCTTACCGTTCAGTTTCTCTCGACTGTAGTCTTACATCGCTGAGCCTGCTAGCCACATTAGCCTCGCTAATATGCTAACACCAAGTTAGCTAACCTTTAAAATAAACAGCAAAACAAAACACGGCAACACTTACAGCTTCCAAATTTGAAGTCAGGTCATGTACAGTTCATGGCGATCCATCCTTGAACCATTACAGAGCTTATTACAGTTGTGGAACTTTTAAAGCACTTATTTATTTAACACGCCAAGTGTTGAGTATGAACATTGCAGTTGTTGCGGTGTTTGCCATCCTCCGAGGTAGGCTTAACCAATAGCACTGTATCTCAATTTTGCGGTTATCACGACAGCCTCAGATATGAAATCTCATTGTTGTTTGAAATCCGGCCGATGATGGTGGTGTTGTCTGCAAACTTTACAGCAGAGTTCTCTCCATGTCGGGGGATGCAGTCGTGGGTGTACAGCGTGAACAGGAGGGGGCTGAGCACACAGCCCTGGGGAATGCAGAGTTTGCTGATCAGTTTCAGGGGAGATTGTGTTGAATGCTGAGCTGAAATCCACAAACAGCATTCTGATGTAGGTGTTGTTTTTCTCAAGGTATATGAGGGCTGAGTGGAGGGCAGTGGAGATGGTGTCCTCTATGGATCTGTTGGTTCTGAAAGCAAACTGCTGAGGGTCCAGGCTGGCTGGGATGTTGTTCTTTATGTGCAGAAGAACCAGTTTCTCAAAGCACTTCATCAGAACTGGGGTGAGAGCCACAGGGCGGTAGTCGTTCAGACCGGACACTGCAGACTTTTTAGGTACTGCAGTGATGGTGGCTGAACCCTCTCCTGAGACAGTGAGATGTTGAAAATGTCAGTAACAACATCAACTAGCTGATTGGCATGTGTTATTAGTACTCGGCCAGGACTGTTATGAGGCCCAGCTCATATTCACTCTCAGCAGGACTCTCCTCACATCTGCTGTGGATACTGACAGGGGCCGGTCCTCTGGAGGTGGAGTAGACTTTACAGCTGACTCTTTGTTGAGGAGATCAGAGCGAGCATAAAAGGTGTAAAGTTCATCTGTTAATGTGGATTCACACATGATGGGGGAGCTCCTGCTTTGGTAGCCTGTGATGGTTTTGACGGCCTGCCACATATCTTTGGTGGTGTTGGTGTTGAGGTCTCTCTCCAGTCTCTGCTGATGCCTCGGTTTTGCCTTCTTGATGCCAGCTTTCAGTCTTGCTCTGGCGGTGCTGTAAACTCCTTTATCAACCGACCGAAAAGCAGCTGTTTTGGCTCTGGATAGAGACCTCACCTCTCCATTCATCCAGGCCTTCTGATTGGGGAATGATTTTATTGTCTTAGTGATCATCACATCATCATCACAATAAATAAATGAGACACAATAAATTAGTCGTTTTCAAATTTGATTTACATATATCAAAATGTATGACTACCAGAATCTACCATGCCTTGATGTGTGTATGTGTGTACAGGCCAATTCACGGAAGAGGAAACCAAGAAGTAAAAAGAGCAAAACTCTGAAGCCAACTAAGACAGACGACGTGATGAAGAGCACGTCCTCAGATCCCCCATCGGACAAGAGGTCAGATGATGAGGATGAAATTGAGGAAGAAAAGGTACATTTAGATAGTACGTGTACTGTTTTGCTTGCCATAGCATGAAAGGAATATTTCCTGTTTTCAGTGTGGAGGTGATGTGTAACTTTCTTGACCTTTCAGGAGTTGGCACCAGTGAAGGCATCAAGCAGAAGGGGCCGAGCAGACAGGATGGTGGTGAAGGAGGAGGACGACGAAGATGACTACGATGAGGAGCCTGAGGAGGAGGAGGAGGTTTCTTCATCAGGGGAGCAGGAGGTCAAAGGAAAAGAGATCAAAAAAGAAGTCAAGAAGGAGGAAATTTGGGACATTAGAGAGACAAAGGAGCCAAAGGAGAAAAAAGAAGCAAAGCCATTGGAGGCACTACACAAACAGGAGGAGAGCTTGGAAAAGGTGAAATAATAATTTGTTATGATTTTACTACTGTGGACCATAGTTTGGATTCATGTTGTCATTATTGTTGTCAGTGTAAATAAATAAAGCATAAAACATTATTATTTGATTAAGAATTAATACACAAATACATTTTATCAGAATGAAGTCAAGACTGAGGTACGAGAACGAACGAAGAAAGCCTCTGATGTGCCAGTCCATATAACAGCAAGTGGAGAGAACGTGCCAGTATCTGAGGAGTCTGACGAACTGGACCAGAGGACCTTCAGTGTGGTATGTTCCATCAATAACGAAATCTTGAGATAGAAAATAGACAGCACTTCCATAAAGTATTCACCCCCTTCACTTTTTTCACATTTTGTTATATTGCAGGCTTATGCTAAAATCATTTCAACTAATTTTGTCCCCCATGAATCAATACTCAATACCTCATAACGACAAAGCAGTATAAGGATTTAAGAATGTCTTGCAAAGGTTTTTTATTCAGATCCTTTGCTATGACACTTGAAAATGAGCTCAGGTGCTTCCTGTTTTTCTTTAAGATTTCTAAGTTTCTACACCTTGATTGGAGTCCACCTGTGGTAACATCAGTTGATTGGACTGACAGCTGACAATGCATGTCAGAGCAAAAAACAAGCCATTTGGTCCAAAAAACTGCCTGAAAATCTCTGAGACAGGATTGCTGACCGGACCATTGTGGTGAAGAGGGAGCTGAGCCGGAAGGAAAAGCTTTTGGTTTACTAGTCTATGTTCCAACCCGCATCTATGGTCATGAGCTGTGGGTATGACCGAAAGAACGAGATTGCGAATACAAGCGGCCGAGATGTGTTTTTTACTCTTTAGGGTGGGGAGCTCTGACATTCAGAGATGGGTCATATTAGAACTGCTGCTACTTCGCATCAAAAGGAGCAAGCTGAGGTGGTTAAAACATCTAATAAGGATGCCTCCTGGGTGCCTTCCTTTGGAGTTTATTGTAGGCATACCCACCTGGAAGGAGAACCTGGGGTAGACCCAGACCTCGCTGAAGGGATTACATATCCCATCAGGCCTGCGAACACCCTGGGATCCTCCAGGTTGAGCTAGAAAGGAGAGGGATGTCTCGAATACCCTGCTAAGCCTGCTGCCACCTTGACTTTACCTTGTATAACCGGAAGATAACGGATGGATGGATCTACAAAGAAGAATGGCAGACAATCATACATCATAACAAAGACTTTCAGTTTCTTCTTTCTAAGAAATTAGCAAATATTTCTAAAATCCTGTTTTCATTTTGTCATTTTGGGGTACTGAGTGTAGATGGATGAGAGGGGGAAAATTAATTAAAGATTTTAGCATAAGGCTGTAACATAACAAAATGTGAAAAAAATACTTCATTAATAGGCTGTTATTTGCATCAATTGTAATTTGTATAGTTTATTAAAGGGATACTAGGTGATGATCTTTAAAACCAACTGCCAAACAAATACACTCCTTTCAGAAGCTCCACCCCCAAAGTCATGGACGAGCATTGCCAAGCCGACCAGTACTATTTACTACTATTCCACTGCTGAAATATGGCAGAATCCACAGTCTGCTGCCCGAGGGCACTCTAACTGTGTTTCGACCGAAAGTACCCGGGACTTTTAAGTCCCCAGATCTCTTTTCAAGGAACTAAAAGGTTCCTTCGGCCTACTTTTGTGTGCGAAGATCAGGCAAATTTACCAGCTGACGTAGGCAGTAGGCCTGCACACTGTACAAAGCGATGAGCAAAATTTATAAATGAACGTCAGATTTAATTGGAATAATAAAAAAAATAATATAAAACTACAGGCTGTGCTTGACCATTAAAGCAGCTTTTTTGTGTGCGTGAGACACACGATAAAGTTTGTTACACATTTAATAACAAACTGGATAAAGCCATCAAGTTCTTAAAGTAACTCCAGCATAAATTTGTGACCGTTTGGAAGGTTATTACAACATTACCAGCCGACAAGAGCTGCAGACCAGCTGCAGCACTCATCTGTGTCGCCTGGACGTCAGAGAAAGGGATTTTTAACAAGCTTTATTACCTGCTCATCAGCTGTTCTGCTTGTTTTGGAGAGGAGACAGACTTCGGCTCTGTGTAAAAACTTTGTGACTGATAACTTAAAACAACAACTCATCAGCTGTTTGCTGTAAACACAGCGCTGCACACTTGCTGCTGTTTCCAATCAATAGGCCTACATTTAATGCCGACATACGATCTCAGGCAGACATCGGAGGAACTGAGCTTTAATATCTGCTGTAATGAGCTGTTCCACTTGTTTTGGAGGGGAGACAGACTTCAGCTCTGTGAAAAACTTTCTGACTGATGAAAGATTAAAACAACAACAACTCAGATCCAGTATTTAGCTTAACTCAATCAGCTGTTTGCTGTAAACACACTGGTGCGGCTGTACAGTTGTACTTGCTACCTGGTACTTTTTTTTCAAACAAAGCAACATCCACTTCCCTTTTAAATCCTTTCACAACACAGTGGTTTTTCCTGCATTGAGATGCCTCAACAATATTAAAACGGTTCTTCACCTCGCCTAGTTAAATGACTTTATATGTAAGTTTTTGTACTCACTGGTCCTGTGCAAGAGCGCTTGCGAAGCTCGCCTTGACATACGCAGGGCTGTGTAGGCAAACCAGATGTTTTACAGAGTACACACAAAACGGAGAGCTAGCAAACTGTGAGGAACTATTCACTGAATTTAACAAAGTGTCCTTGACTTGAATCGCTTGGTATCCCTTTAATATTATCATTATTTTGGCTTAAGATTATGTTTTTGACTAATGAAATAGCAGCATCATTAAAATAAGTCTTTGATGGCTAAGATCCCGCCAGGTTCAACATGTTTTATCCATACTTTTGTTTGAATGTTGCAGTGTAAAGAGAGGATGCGGCCGGTGAAAGCAGCGCTGAAGCAGCTGGACAGACCAGAGAAAGGGCTGTCGGAGCGCGAGCAGCTCGAACATACAAGACAGTGCCTCATAAAGATTGGAGACCACATCACTGAGTGTCTGAAGGAGTATTCCAATCCTGACCAGATCAAACAATGGAGAAAGTCAGTATACACTGTCACTTATACACGCACATTTATCAAATATACTACTACTATACTATTTCCACACGGAGGAAGTTAAGCTGGCTATCAACGTTGAATTGGCTATGAGGAGGCCTGTCACAATTATTACATGATCAGCTGATTTTATTTATTTATGGGTGGTGATGGAGCAGTGGATAAGACACATGCCTTTGGTTTGAGAGATTCGAATCCACTGTGAGACACCAGTGTCCCTGAGCAAGACACTTAACCCCCAGTTGCTCCAGAGGAGTGCGACCTCTGAAATATATATAGCAGTCGCTTTGGATAAAAGTGTCAGCTAAATATGTAGATGTAAGAACAACACAATCTTTTTGCTCAATGGTCAAATTCGACCGTCAAGGGAAGTTCTGCAGTTGAATAATTATTTACATGTTGATACTTAGTCATTATTGCTTATATTCTTAATATATTGTTTATTTTGCATTACAGGTAACAAAAGCCGCGTTTCCACCAAAAGTACCCGTGACCTTTAGTCCCAGGATCTACTTTTCAAGGAAGGAAAGGGTTCCTTTAGCCCATTGTTATGTGCATTTCCACCGCGGTCTAAACACCTGCAAAGATTAGGCAACTTAACCAGCTGACATATACGCTACGCAAACCGACGGACAGTCATCTTTAGTAACCATAAGCCATGAGCAAAAAGTATAAATGAACATCAGATTTGATAGGAAAATAATGAAAAACTGTTGGCTATGTTTGACCACTAAAAATTGCCTTTTTTTTGTGTTAGAGTAAAATGAAGAGACACATGATTAAAGTTCATTACAAATATAAAAAACTGGATAAAGCCATGAAGAACTCTAGCACAGCGAAAGCAACTCCAACACAAAATCACCACAGTTTGGAAGATCATTAAAACATTTCCAACTGACAAGAGCTACAGATCAGGAGGAACGGGATTTTTAACATGCATTACCTGCTGTAATCAGCTGGTCCGTTTACTTTGGAGAAAAGGAGAACTACTTCAGCCCCGTGTAGAAACCTCTTGACTGATGAAAACCTAAAACAACAACTGTGGACCCAGTATTTAGCGAACTCCATCAGCTGTTAAACACACCGCTGCACGCTGGCCGTTATTTCCAAGCAATACATTTAATGCATTCATTCAATCTCAGGTGGACATCGGTGAGAACTGTGTGCTATCTCACTGTTGAGTGTAGGTTATGGGTTTACAAAGGTGGAAAAGAGGAGCAGTAGTTAAAAAACAGCCGACATACTCGATTTAAAGCCAGTAGCCCCTCCCCAAGTACCGTTACTTTTGGAAAGTACAACCCCCCCGATGAGGGACTTTTTTGGGGTAAAATAAAAACCCTGGAACTAAATTAGGCCCTGGTCCCTGCGGTGGAAATGCAGTGAGTTCCTCCAAAGGTTCCTACTTCCGAGGTATAGTTCCTTTGGTGGAAAAGCGGCTAAAATAACAATTTATTCAGATTAGACCTGGATTAAACACAATACAAGAAATACACGCAGGACAGACTGCCGACGCTTAATGACGCTTTAGGTGCAGAGTGGAGCTTCACTGCTTATTAACCTTGTTGTGGACTTTCAGGATATACAGAGATAAACAATCTTTTCTTTCACCAAGTTTATTTTAAAAGAGGGGCAAAGTCGATTTAGTAAACCCTTTTGCTTTAATCTACAAGAGGAGCGGGTGTAAGTTGTATGGATATTCATTAAGGACGGGTTCACACCAGCCTTGTTTAATCCGGTTGTACCGAACCCTCTAGCAGGACTCGAGACTAACGGCATTCAAATAGAAAATGTTTTTGGGACAAATAGAAATACTCTATAGGAGTTGAGTGCCACACATCAAGCTCCTCACGCAGTGAAAAACAAATGTATATTATGATTTTTTTCAGAACACCAATATGTGGGATATATTTTGATTGTGCAGAAAGTTTTGAACCTGAGCAAAAAACACAGGAGCTATAAGACCAAGAGTTTATAACGGAATTAAAATGAATTAATTTATCCTTGATGTGAAACGGTGCCACAACAGATACCTTTTCACTTTTGTTTTAAAATCAGTTTTTTGGAATGGAGTAAAATAAATATTTATTTCATAAACATTTATTATGTCACTAACAACTAACTAATACCTATGATAATAACAAAGTAAAGAAACCAAATTTTTCACATGGAAGACAGATGTGACCCTTGACCATTTCATCATAGTTTTTAATGATTCAGTGCAGTGGGGATACAGACTTTTCATGTTACACCCAAAACACTCCCATGATTGGTGTAAAACCTTCTTAGTGATTGCCGTTTCCCTCCAGCATCCAGAGCACAAGTATTTCATTGTATTTGTAATACACATGAAAATAAAGTTTAATCTTATTTGGTCATTCCTGGATAGAAACGTGGCTTTGTGTTTACCTGTTGAATTTTAACTTTTGAAAATAAAAGCAAGAATCCTATATGAATTAACGGTCTAGTACCATTTTTTATTACATTAGGTAGGCAGAGCATGTGTGGCAGTGCAACAGGTAAAACACTGTTAGAACGTACAACATGCAAACTATGTAAGATTGACACGACTGCATAATTTTGATAATCTCTCTCTCTCTCTCTCTCTCTCTCTCTGCTGTATATTAACTTATTGGGAGAAAACTGGTAGTTCTATGTAAAATCAGACACATCGCCAAAACGGCATGATCCGTGTGCCGTTGCAAAGCTTCGACTGTGAGATTGACAGTCGAATCAGGCTCCGCCCATCGAATCTTGAACTTTTCGGGGTCAGCCCTAGTGACATAGACAATAATTACGTTATATCCTAAGTATTTCTATGACAATCTGTCAACTAAAATTTCATGTTTCAGCTCTAGGACTAGCATCTGTATTCATATGTTAAGCTGATGGTCTTTGTATTTTACAGGAACCTGTGGATATTTGTTTCCAAATTTACTGAGTTTGATGCCAGGAAACTACATAAACTATATAAGCATGCAATCAAAAAAAGACAAGAGAACTCCCAGGTACGTGAAGGACCTTAGTCATTTTTTTATTTGGATTACAATATGACAGAAATAGAAATCCATGATGACGATGATTCTGTTTCTATAGGCAATGGAGCAGAATACTAGAAGTATTAACACCCACGGCTATAAACATGCAGGTACAGTCATATTTCCTCTGTTCTACATATAGAACAAGATTTGCAAGTTGTCACTGTACTGATTTATTTGTTGTCTTCGCCCTCAGATATTGAACGGCTGAAGGACAACTCTCACCAGGACGAGAGCAGTAGGGACAGTTGCAGCTCTGACAGGCTTTTAGGTCGATACCATGAGAGCAGCAGCAGTGTGGAGAGACACAGCTCAGAGTACCACAGAAAGACTATGGGAGGAGAATCTAGGAAAAGACCTTACTCATCCTTCAGCAACGGCAAAGACCACCGGGACAGGGACCACTACAGATCAGACAGCAGGGACCGAGACAAACAAGACAGGTGAGGGACGCAGACTGCAGGAGTGCTGCTTCCAGGGACAAATTAAACATTGTTATTGTCACATTATCTCAGCCACAAGTGCATTGGTTCTTCCTGAAAACGTAAATCTTTGTAAACACCTCCCAAATATAAAGTTTAATTTTGTTTAAAATGCTCCGTTATTTACTGAAGCTGTGTGACACTATATATAGCAGACATTACTCAAACATGAGGAAATATCATAAATATCTTGGGGAATATTTACAGGAGCAGATTAATCCACATTTGTGTATTTATTGATATAATAATGCGTTTTGGACTAAATATTTTACTGGATTGGATCGTCTGGACCTTTGCCAACGTAACAAGGCTATTTTTGTCTGAATGTTATCCACCGGCAGAGTATTGCTTCAAAGATAAGTGGTGTCAATTTTTATAATAGGCAGTGCTTGAAGTGGGCCACCGATACCAATAAGTTACTTCAACATTTTACTCTTTGGTGTCCCGGGACTTTTCTTTTTGTTTTTGGGACTTATATTTTATATTTTGTTTGCAATACAAATAAAAACGACTTCCAACCGAAAGGGGAAAAAAACAACAAAACGAAACAGGGGACCCAAGGCAACGATGGTGTACCTGAAATAAGGATTCAGCTTAGAAGTTTGTCCACTGACTGTATCATTGTCACATGGGGAGTCACGATAATAGTAGAATCGTGGGATCAAATAATAGAATAGTGTCCATATAATACTGTCCTTGCTATTACTTCTGCAGCGCCCTCACCACCTTCATCCTACCTTTTTATAGTGAAATCACAACTGTGACGAGTTTAAAAGAAAAATAGAATAAAAAATAATATGCATACATACAGGTACTCTCTCATACTTGTGTCCAATCACATACACACGCATACCTTGCAAGTACAGTTAACTTGTTGAGACAGAGGTTGACAGATGGATGGAATACGACTTAACAACAGCAAGGTAGGAGAAACAACACCACAGAATCTGGGAATTAGTCCATTAAGTCGAGTGAAATTGTAAAAACTTCCCCCATTTTTCCTTGTACTTCTCTACTTCGTTCATCAGATTGTATGATATTTTCTCAAATGCCGCCACCATACCCAGTTCTGAGACCCATTCCTGAAATAATGGGACTACAGCATCTCGCTGGAGAATTTTGAACTGTGTTAATCTTAATCTAATGTCTCTGGAGACATGTTTGGTAATACCAATAATTTTATGTCCTGGGACTTTTCTTGCGTACCGGTGGGCTCTATGTGGCTCTCATCTGTTCCCATTCTCGCCTGTTTGCTAATCTCTGTCGGCGGAGATGGAGCAGGTTGAAGCTCGATGCCTTTCATGCAGCTGTGAGCCCCCATGTGAATGGGAAGTACCAGCAGGGCTGGGAAATAAAACAATTATGATAATTATCGCAATATAATTTTCCTCAATAACAATGTAACAAATGTTTCATAATTGAAACATTGATTTAATTAATTTGAGTCACGAACAGCACTTTAATTTGTTGAGGAAAAGGGACTGAAAAAAATATTACTTAATTGAAATTTACTTAATCATAATTGTGAGAGTGGGACGAGTGAGAGGATGTGCTGCGCGAATGCGCTACAGCACCTATATTTTCCACTTCAAGCACTGATTATAGGTGGTGGCAGAAAATCTTACCAGAATGGAGGAAATGAACTGTTTAATGCTCAAAATCTTCTGGGAGAAGACCCCCCAACATATACAGTGAGGAAAATAAGTATTTGAACACCCTACTATTTTGCAAGTTCTCCCACTTAGAAATCATGGAGGGGTCTGAAATTGTCATCGTAGGTGCATGTCCACTGTGAGAGACATAATCTATAAAAAAAAAAAATCCAGAAATCACAATGTATGATTTTTTAACTATTTATTTGTATGATACAGCTGCAAATAAGTATTTGAACACCTGAGAAAATCAATGTTAATATTTGGTACAGTAGCCTTTGTTTGCAATTACAGAGGTCAAACATTTCCTGTAGTTTTTCACCAGGTTTGCACACACTGCAGGAGGGATTTTGGCCCACTCCTCCACACAGATCCTCTCTAGATCAGTCAGGTTTCTGGGCTGTCGCTGAGAAACACAGAGTTTGAGCTCCCTCCAAAGATTCTCTATTGGGTTTAGGTCTGGAGACTGGCTGGGCCACGCCAGAACCTTGATATGCTTCTTACAGAGCCACTCCTGGGTTATCCTGGCTGTGTGCTTCGGGTCATTGTCATGTTGGAAGACCCAGCCTCGACCCATCTTCAATGCTCTAACTGAGGGAAGGAGGTTGTTCCCCAAAATCTCGCAATACATGGCCCCGGTCATCCTCTCCTTAATACAGTGCAGTCGCCCTGTCCCATGTGCAGAAAAACACCCCCAAAGCATGATGCTACCACCCCCATCTTCACAGTAGGGATCCAAATGGTCATTGGCAAACTGAAGACGGGCCTTGACATGTGCTGGTTTAAGCAGGGGAACCTTCCGTGCCATGCGTGATTTCAAACCATGACGTCTTAGTGTATTACCAACAGTAACCTTGGAAACGGTGGTCCCAGCTCTTTTCAGGTCATTGACCAGCTCCTCCCGTGTAGTTCTGGGCTGATTTCTCACCTTTCTCAGGATCATTGAGACCCCACGAGGTGAGATCTTGCATGGAGCCCCAGTCCGAGGGAGATTGACAGTCATGTTTAGCTTCTTCCATTTTCTAATGATTGCTCCAACAGTGGAGCTTTTTTCACCAAGCTGCTTGGCAATTTCCCCGTAGCCCTTTCCAGCCTTGTGGAGGTGTACAATTTTGTCTCTAGTGTCTTTGGACAGCTCTTTGGTCTTGGCCATGTTAGTAGTTGGATTCTTACTGATTGTATGGGGTGGACAGGTGTCTTTATGCAGCTAACGACCTCAAACAGGTGCATCTAATTTAGGATAATAAATGGAGTGGAGGTGGACATTTTGAAGGCAGACTAACAGGTCTTTGAGAGTCAGAATTCGAGCTGATAGACAGGTGTTCAAATACTTATTTGCAGCTGTATCATACAAATAAATAGTTAATAAATCATACATTGTGATTTCTGGATTTTTTTTTTAGATTATGTCTCTCACAGTGGACATGCACCTACGATGACAATTTCAGACCCCTCCATGATTTCTAAGTGGGAGAACTTGCAAAATAGCAGGGTGTTCAAATACTTATTTTCCTCACTGTATTTCCACAATGAACGTTTTATCAAACCAGCATACAATTATCTGCTTGTCGTCTTTTTGTGAACCCACAATTGTGTTTCTTCATGTTTTGTGAGCAAAAATAGAATGTATATAATATAATAATCTGACTCCCTATGTCCCCGACAGTTTTCAACACAAAGTTACGGTCTTGCCACCTACCCTCCATCTTTATTGTAAATCCCGAACACATTTCAGGCACAGAAAAATTTCTTGCTTTAAGCCCTGAAGTACTCTGGCATCAATTTTCAGGACGAGGGGAGGATATTTGTTGTTAATAGTGGTAAAAAGAAGTTGGGAAACAGCTTCCAGACTCACTTTAAAAGAAGAGCAAAAGAAAGACGAGCTGAGAACGAGAGTGAGAAGAGAGCGTCAGAAGACGAAGGAAGGAAAGGGAGAGGAAGAAAACATGACTTTCTGATTGTTTCAGGGCGGTTATATTTTAGATTTGTTTTGGATTAGAATTACATATTAAAGTACTTGAAGTTGGTGCACACCAGCTTGTACACTAGCATTGAAAGTGTTTTGTTGTTTAAGTTCCATCTTTGCTTTGTTGTTCAGTTATGCTGATGTTATGTGTATGCAGATACTACAGTGACGGTAAGCACAGGAAGCTGGAGGAGTTCCGCTCCAGCAGAGACCATCGTCTGGACATGAAGGATCATTCCCATTCAGACCACCGCTCTTCCTACCGCTACCACTCAGACTGGCAGACAGAGCAGCGAGCCTCAGTCAGTGGACCCCGCTCTCCCCGAGACCAGCGCTCACCCTATGACTCCCGCTCGCCCATGGGACACCCGTCACCTTTTGACTACTCGTCAGACCACAAGAGCACACCAGAGCAGATCTGGAGCAGCCGCAAGACATAACAGGAGCTGCCTGGGTCTGCTAGTAGCAGCCATAGACTCAGTAACACAGCAAATGCCTTACAGGGACTGTGGACTCCAACCTGATGTTGTTTAAAGCACTGTGTATCAGTCAGTTCCCCTCGCTTCAGCTACAGCTCATATCGGGTACCTGTGAGATGAATGCCAGGGAGTGGCCCAAACCCGGCAGCAGCTCAAAAATCAAAGCATATTTTTGTAATCAACAATTTAAAGCTGCATTGTTGTGTAGGCTGAACAGCATGCAGCATCATTTTTTGTTATTTTTATAAACTTTTTTTTTACTCTGGAAACGGACACAATTGACCCTTAGTGCTGCCTCATATTCCCACCAACCCATGACACTGGATCCTGTATTTGACTGTTCTCTATGTTTGTCTGTCTGTCTCTGTCTCTTTATCATGCTAAATGTGATTATCTACCTTATTTAAGTGTTGACTGGATGAAAAATCAGTTGTCACATGAATCACATTACAAGTTGATGTAAAGGTGTCCGCTTGGATCCAGTCTGGTCTCAGGCTCACCACCTTAAGTACCTCATTTACAGCATTTGTCATTCTCCTCAGCAGGTGTTTCTTTTGCCACCAGGCGTGAATTATTTAATAACATATCTTAGCTGTAAAAATAAAGGTTGGGGGGGGGGGGAAGAGTTGCTTATATCATGTTTTTTCCTTCTGTAATACTGGTGTAAATTTTTGTAAATTAGTAAATCAGTGGTCTTTTTCCTCAGGCTTTTGGGATTTATTATGACTATACCTTTCCCCATCAACTCAGGCCTTTTTGTCGTTCTATAAGTGAGTTTCTGTATATTAGTTCTTTCATGATAATGCTTTCAGAATGTAACTTTTAGTAAAGGGAAAGTTCTTAAACAATACTCAGTTTTATTCACTAGTGCTTAGTTCTTTTGTCTTGGTGTGTTGAAATCAGTGAGTTGGAATGAACTGACCCATACAGTCTGAAAGACTGTTGTCTTTCAATAGAAGCACCTATTAAATCTTAGATAAACAAAACTTTTTACATATATTTGTTTCTTTACCTCTTCATTTTATTTTATACGTAGGCAATAATAATGTCAATGTTTCTATGCAGCCAAGTATATTTGTGGTGAACCACCCAACTGAATGAAGTTACTGTTACGGTTCACACTGTTGTACATACATTTCCTCTATATTTCAAAATGAATTTACACTGAAAGTGCATGAATTTTTATGAACTGTTTTATATAGTTGTTTATGAAGCCATTAAAATCAATCACTGTACTCACTCGTACCATCTCTCTTCAACAAGGGGTCGTGTTTTGATTCTGCCAGCTGGTTGGTTGATTTCATTACACTTCAGCTATCACAAGCAAAGTTGTAGCCAATATCTTTACACACCAGGGTAAGATGCAATCACAGCAATCATTTTCAGTTAGATTTTTACTAGTCCTGTCATGACATTTGTTTGAATGTAACAGCAGATAGTTGTTTGGCTTCAGTCAGCGGTGCCCCCTATAGGGTTACCTAATGCCCCTTTTCCACCGCATGGTAGCCAACCAGCTCGACTCTCCGCGACTCTATTCGCCTTTTTGGTTTTCCATTGGGGAAAAGTTGTACCGGTTATCTGGTACTTTTTTTTGTATTACCTCCGTCGAGGTTCCAAGCGAGCTGAGGCGATGCTAATGCCCATTCCAGGCTGCTCAGAACTGGGAAATTTCCAAGTTAAAATATCTGACTTCCGACCGCAAAAGCGTTTCAGTTGCATGGTGGTGCATGACAACTAAATGTAAACAATAAACATGGCTGACTGTGACAAATTTATGTTCGATTTCATTTTTCTGACTGCTATATGGCGGTGCTTTAGCGCTGGATGTTTCCATCTCGCATTTGCACAGGTCGAGTAATTATAACACCTGTGACCATGCAATGACAGGGCGCATGCCCCAGTATAAAACCCTCACGTCATCACACTCCTTCCTTCAATCTTCTTGCATTGAGGAGACAAAATAGCAGGTCAATTCGGCTTATCGCTTTTAGCCTTGTAACCTGAGGGTTGGTGTTGAGTAATCACGTCCACCTGAGGCTGCAATCAGCTGGGGTTTTTTCTGTGGTAAACTTTTTCACTTTCGGACGGACAGCAATGGTCTCGCCGTTAAGGTTCTTGTTGAATAATGCTTGATTTATATTCCAGCATCAGGGCTACACTGTAGGCTACACACACAGTCATGCATTTATACTTGTGCGTCAGTGTCTCCGTTGTTCTGCAATTACACTGCCAAATGCTAGTTGGCGGTACGGTTACAGCGTCCACTGTGTTGACTTTTGCCGGCCGAGCAGGCTAACTTCCGGTTTAGCCCTCCGCTAACGTGAATGGGTGTAAAATTGTATGCATGCGGCGGTTACAGACTTTTAAAAAGTTAGCGACCGAATGGATCACATTCTGATAGTGAAATGAGTTATTTCGCTCGGGTTGTGATGGTCAAATATATTGATCCATCGTGTTACAGCCTACCAATCACTGTTCTTACGGTCTGCATCGCTTCAACGTGTAGTTACATTTACCTACTTATACTATCAGTAAGAAGGGCTAGACTTGTAGAGCTAGACGGTGATATTAGTCTACCACCTGATAGTGTGGTTGCAAACCCACAAGCATGATAAATCTAAAAAAATCAAGGAAGGTGGACACCTTGGCTCTCAAAGTTCCCCCCCACCCCGACATCTGTGGTTATGAAGTCCTTTGAGTGCCTTGTGTTGTCCCACCTGAAATCCATCACCCACTCCTGGACCCCCTACAGGTCTGTAGACGATGCAGAAAACATGGCCCTTCACTACATCCTCCAGCACCTGGACTCCCCAGGAACTTAAGCCAGGATACTGTTTGTGGACTTCAGCTCTGCTTTCAACAGCATCATCCCGGCCCTGCTTCAGGACAAGCTCTCTCAGCTGAGTGTGACTGACTCCACCTGCAGGTGGATCGCTGACTTCCTGACGGACAGGAAGCAGCACGTTAAGCTGGGAAAACATCTCTCCAGGACCCTCAGCACGGGTTCCCCTCAAGGCTGCGTTCTTTAACCCCTGCTCTTCTCCCAGTACACCAACAGCTGCACCTCCAGTCACCAGTCCGTCAAGCTCCTGAAGTTTGCAAATGACACCACCGCACACCCAAACACAAGAAAAGCAATCTAGTGTATGCGGTCCAGTGCAGTGAGGAATGCACAGACCTGTATATTGGGGAGACTAAACAACCACTACACAAACGCATGGCTCAACACAGAAGGGCCAACTCCTCAGGTCAAGACTCTGCAGTCTACTTACATCTGAAGGACAGAGGACACTCGTTTTAGGACCACCAGGTGCACATTTTAGACAGAGAAGATGGATGGTTTGAAAGAGGTGTCAAGGAAGCCATCTACACCAGGGTTGAGAAGTCGTCATTGAACAGGGGAGGGGGTCTACGCCACCACTTATCCCCCACTTACAATGCTGTCCTTTCATCACTTCCCAGGAAACTCAACAAACGTAACCTATTGGCCTCAGGTGAAGATACCAACGATGGTCGTTCAGTCTTGGCCACAGGTAGTCTCAACGACTGTAACGACTGTCGTCACAACACCAAGGAACACTAACGAACCAGCGGTATCGATGACCCGGGATAACGACCCCACTGAGGTTAAATAGCTGAGTTTCCCTGCCAGTCAGTCAGAACTGAAGAAGTCCTTTGGATAAGGGACGAAACGTCTTCCAGTAGCTTCAACCAAGTCCAGTTGCCCTTCATTTTAACCCTCGTTGGATAACTATGACCTGGATGACTGAGAATCTTCATAGACACCTTCATTGGGCTCATCTCTGGTGGGGATGAGTCTGCTTACAGGTGCGAGATTGACCATCTGGTGATCTGGTGTGCAGCCAGAACAGTCTGGAGCTCAACACTCTGAAGACCGTGGAGATGGTCATGGATTTTAGAAAGAGCCCATCATCCTGTGTGACTCCCCAGTCACCACTGTGGACTCCTTTTGCTTCCTGGGCACCATCATCTCCCAGGACCTCAAGTGGGAGCTGAACATCACCTCCCTCTCCAAGAAGGCCCAGCAGAGGATGTACTTCCTGCAGCAGCTGAAGAAGTTCAGCCTGCCAAAGACAATGATGGTGCACTTCTACACCGCCATCGTTGAGTCCATCCTCACCTCCTCCATCACCATCTGGTACGCTGCTGCCAACGCCAGGGACAAGGGCAGGCTGCAGCGTATCATTCGCTCTGCAGAGAAGGTGATTGGCAGCAGGTCTCTTCAGGACCTGTACACCTCCAGGACTCTGAGGCGTGCAGGAAACATTGCAGCTGACCCCTCCCACCCTCGACACAAACTGTTTCAGATTCTCCCCTCTTGCAGGAGGCTGTGGTCGATCGGGACCAAAACCTCTCGCCACAAGAACAGTTTCTTTCCGATGGCAGTGGGCTTCCTCAACAAGGCCCGGGTCCCCACTGTCAGTGACTCTCATGCCCCCCTCCCCAAATTCTCACACACTCATACACTCTCCTGATCCCACACTTTACAACAACGTTCATCTGTGCTTTATGCTCATGTTGCCAACTTTTGCACATACTTGTCAGCATTGTATTATGGTATTATTGTTTTTTTATATCTTTCGTATACTTTTTTTGATCTTCTTTTTATATATTTATATTACTATTTATATTTTGTGTACTTTAAGCACTAATTCATACCAAGCCAAATTCCTTGTATGTGAAAATGTACCTGGCAATAAACCCAATTCTGATTAATCTCCAGCCTGATAATGGGGAGCCAGCTCCCAGTAGTGACTCCGCCACAAGAGACTCTCCTCAAAAGGATGATGTGTTATCAACTTGCAGCCTCCTGCAGTTTGTTCACAGATGAAGGGGAAGAAGGGCAAGACAAGGAGGGGGGACACGCTGTCCCGGGCCTCTGATGGTTTTTTTTCAGGTATCTGATGGGGGACCATTATGTGGGTCGGAGGCCAGCCGGTCCTCACTGAAGCCAGTGATTTGCATGGCTTTAGCACACCTGGGGCTGGATGAAGCTCCTGTGGCGCTAGCACCTTCAAGTGCTTTTTCAGGCAGATGCCGCAGCCCTCTGCCTTCTCAGTCCCTCCTTCTAAGCCCTATATTGAAGAGCTCCGACAGTTCTGGTCAGACCCCATGTTACACTCTCATCACACCAGTGGTTACAGGAACTTGGCTGCCATGCAGTATGCAGATAACTATGGTTTGGACCGTATGGCCCCGGTCGAGCCTACCATTGCCTCATTGATTGTGTCACCAGGGGAAGGGGTGAGGTACCGGAGAACTACTCGGTAACTAGCATTCTGTGTTTCCTGCAGTCGTTGTTGGACGGTGGCAGGTGTGCATCGACCTTGAAAGTGTATGCAGCTGCCATTTCAGCGGGGCACGTGAGAGTGGACAACCACACAGTGGTGTCAGGCTATCTGGTTAGTCAGTTCCTGAAGGGCGCACAGAGGCTTAGACCATCAGGTGTCACTGTAGTGCCACCATGGGACTTGAAAGTGGTTTTGAGATCCTTTGGTCTGCCCCCATTTGACCCGTTAGGACAGACAGTTGAGGTGGTTGTCTGCTAAGACGGCATTTCTGCTTGCTGTCACAGCAAAACAAGTGGGAGAACTGCATGCCTTATCAGTGAACCCGAGGTGCCTGTGTTGGTACCCAGATGGGTCAGGAGTTACTCTCCTACCAAATCCATACTTCCTGCCAAAGCAGGGGGGCCTCGCTCGCATGTAAACCAAGCCATCGAGTTGGCTACATTTAGTCCACCAGGCTCATCTGAAGGGGCGGAAGAACTGTCACAGCTACTGTGTCCAGTTCGGGCCCTGAAGGCCTATTTGGAGGCCAATGCCAAGGTGCGCAAATCTGACCTTTTTGTTTGCTATGGGGGTTGTAGGAAGGGTGAAGCTCTATCAAAGCAGAGACTTTCCATTTGGATTGTAGATGTGATTCTGCATGCTTATAGGTTGCAAGGCCTTCCTGCACCCACTAAGGTAAAGTGTCACTCTACTTCGAGTGTGTCCACATCCTGGGCGATCCTGAGATGGGTCTCTGTGCATGACACCTGCACTGCGTCTTCATGTACCTTAGCTTGCTATTACCGGGTAAATGTGGCTGCTCCCCACGTGGTGGCAGCAGCCATTCTATCAACTGCTTCCACTCCTTAGCACAGTAAGCATTCCTCGTGACCTTGTTGGTATAAGTCATCCAGTGACTAAAACACCACCGTCTGGCAGTCAGGAAGAATGAAA